AACTTGCGTGTTGTTTGACAACTTATTACACATCGTTGTGGCTGTTTGATGTTGGCTTTGGTGATGTTTGTGGTGATGTTTGAGGTGACGCTGCTTCCTGCTTTGTTTGCTGCAGAGGTTGGTGTGAAGTAAGAGCTAGGTTTGTCAGTGTGCTTTCAGTTGCTCTCAGCTCGGATTTGTGGTTCATTCACAGATTTGTTGTGTCATTAGTATGTACCATCCATGCCATACACAATTGATGTTCTGGCGCAGGACCACTTGTTGACTTGAATGATGACCTCACTGTGATCTTCGTCTTCGTCGTTTCTCGAGGTGCAAACACCATGTTTATTTGCCATCATGATGCCTTGACTTGGGTTTGAGACAGAATTTCATGTCGCAGCGCTGGAAGGTTTAGTAGTCTTGTTTTTGGGTTGGGGTTGACATTGGAGTTCTGTGTGAATTCAAAGTTGCACTATTGACTATTATTATTCTTCCCACTTGCCGCAGCAGAGGCTGTGAAATTTCAGCCCAATTCATGATTAATTCAGTAAACATCAGCAAGAACTACAACAAAGCACTCAGCCATTTTGAAACTAGTCGTTTATGCGCATTTATGTATGGGAATGTTCCCAAGTGATGAGGCAAACATTAGCCCTCAAACATGAAAAATCAGAAGAAACATTTGAAATTTAACTGACTGAAGCCATGTCCCCGGCCAGTGAATAAGACAGAAGTCAGAAGTTAACAACTACTCATCCTTCTGAGTCATTGCTCTTTGATTTGAGCCATTGTCGTTGCCTGCATGCCATGCTGGATGAATCGGTGGTGCTTGTAGCATGGGGCGTCGAGTACTACTACGATGGCGTGCAAGGGAAGCATCGTATGCCTGGGTGGTTGAAGAGTATTCTGGCTGCATTACATTTGTGCAGGTCCTGATGGATTTATTTGCAATTCTGGACAGCTTTGCTTCTTTGCCACTATGATTCAGCAGTGTCCTGATTTTGCTTTTATTTGAGCTTTTGCCTTGTTTAGGCCAATACCCCAACGCGACCCACATTTCCTTTGACGTCCGTGGCTTCTGGGATGATCCGGACACTCACGGGGCTGGCAGCTTGCCCTGTCAACTGTTTCGAAATCATTCCTGCCTTGCTTTGTGCCAGCTGTTGTAGTGAAACACAACAAACAAAATTCATTAGTCAATGTTGCCAAAGGCATGGAACTCAAAATCTGTTGTTTAGATTGATTGTTCAGTAAAAGTGGAACTTAATTGACTGAGTTTATCCGGATCCTTTTGACATGAGATCTCAGCTGCTCTCGTTTGACTATTTGACTTGAGGCAACGTGGTGAAGGACATCAACGCCCTGAAGACGATTGGATTGTGCCAGTCTGGTCGCAAGGCCCTGAAGCAGATCATCAACATGGTTCAGATGCACCGCAACCTGCATGGCAATCACATGCTTGTGCTGTCAGTTGTTTGTCTCTTGCCAGCACCAGGTGTCCATGACATGATTATTCTGATTTGTTGTTTTAATTCTTGGTTGACTAGGTTTCCACCACACCGACTTTATCAAATCTGTCTTGGGTCTCACCAAAACGTTCAGTTTACTTATTCCATTTTCAACTTGAAAGTTTGGCCATTGAGCAGTTGAGGAAATGTGAGTGGGGAGGGTGAGTGTTTGCTTTTGAGTTTTGTCTCAGCCTCATGGTCTAGATTCAGATTAGATCAATCTGTTCCGTTCGGTCTCAGAGAAGCCTCTCCCTGAGTTTTGATATGTTTTTTGATACGTTAGACTTAAGGAATGTTTGGAAAAAGTTTTAGCATGGAGGTCATCAACGCAGAATCAATGTGATCTGAGGTACCAAAGGAAGGCATCGCAGTGCTTCAGCAGTTATGCTGGCAGGGCTTGTGCTGAACAGCTTGGTCCTGCTCCCAAGCTACTTTGGGTGCCTTGGTCAGTCATATTAGATCATGTCACAGTTCGATGCTTTCAGACTTGAAACAATTTTCCGTTGAATCGGTGTTATTTAATGGTGGTTTAAGAAAGGTTTGGAATACCCATTGATTTTGAAACTAAAATGTGTTTCTTGTCAGACATGGAATTGTTGCTGCTCAACTATGTCTCTGGTTCTGTGAGTGTTGTTAGTTGTTGTTTTTGTTCTGTGGTTTCCCATCATTGGCTTTCCCGTCATTGGCTTTCTATGTGATGGCTCTGCAGGCTATATGGCGCCACAAGACTTCCCAACTTGGACAAGGAGCTGAGGGATTGGATGGCCAGGTTCCGAAGGGAACATTCTGTCTTTGAGTATGAGACCGAGACGGAGGAGATCCAAGAGGAGGAGGAGGTGAAGGAAGAGGAGGAGGATGATGATGAGGAGGAGGAAGAGGTGGAGGTTGTTGTGGAGGAGAGGCCTCGGAGGTGGCTGCCACCACCACCACTGCCACCACCACCGCCAATGCCGTTGCTACCTCCGCCATTGCCACCTTCAAATTCAAAGTCAAAGAAGCGCAAAGAACCAGTTGCTTGGCCCGACTTTTTCCAGCCGCTGCCGTAGTCATTTGATTCATTGATAGATGATTACTGTTGTAAAGCACTAAGCCTTTAAGAAGTTTGTCAGCCAGCCATTGGTGCCAGCCATTGTTGATGTGGAATTTGCGGGTTTTGTATCAGGGTCCTTTGGTGTACTTGCATCTTGCTGTGTTTTGCGCACCCAAGGCTTCGTCAGTGACAGAGACCTTCAGCTATCGCAGTGGCACAGCTAGCGGCAGCAGAGATGGTTTGGTGTCGCGGCTGAGATCTGCTTTGACTTCAAGGGATGATGGTGTGCCTTGTTGGAACTGTTGCTGTTGTGCAATGTTTGTGTCAGGTCGTTGCTAATTCAGAGCAGTTTCGTTTTGGTGCAGCTTCAATAGTGCTTAGCTGTCGCATGCAAGGACAACGTTGAACCGGGGGCGAATGGAAATCTGATGGGCCTGGTCATTTTGAATGCGGAGCAGCAGCGGCAACTGTTCAATTTAGGGCCAAGGTGAATGCGATGTCTAGCATCCAATGTGATGTCAGCAGCAGTTGGGAAAAAGAGGTTGCTGCCTGTCTCCAACAAGGTTGAAGTGAGGTGAAATAGGTGTCCGAGTTGGTGGTGAGAGTTTGCGCTTCTTCCTTGCATGTGTTGCAAAGAGCTGGTGAATGCATTTGCAACTTGCCGTTGCCAGGCTTGTTCTGGTAACTCCACAGCCAGCCTCAAACTCAGCAGATCCAGATCCTTATCTAAGTTCAAAGCATTGATTATTGATCATGCTGTTGAGATCCGCATGTAAACAGTTGTCTGAAGGCATTGTCTGTTGTGTGCAATCAGTTTGATTTTCAGAACTACTTATCTAAGTATTGGATATCGATTCATCCTGGTCCTAAATCCAAGGCACAGTGATGTCTTGAAAGTTGCAGCCCCTTCAATTTAATGATGCCATTGTGCCTGATGTTCTAATGAGTCCGAGGCTTGAGGTGTCCTGCTACTTACAAGTGCATTGTGTTAGGAGCTCAGACTGGTTGAGTTGGAGTTTCTCGTGTTGGGAAGCTAATCGCAGCTGGTGAGACACATGTTTATCCAGTGTGTGTAATTACTGTAAAGTAGTTTCAGCGGATGCTTCTTGTTGTCCCAAGGCAGACGTCTGTCGTCAACTGGGCATGGAATGCCGCAGCCCTACCATGTGATGATAGTCCAGGTCCTTATTTCATTGTTCTTCATGTCATTTATGGTATTGGTTGATTCTGATGTGCATGTTGGTTTTAAGAAGATGTCATTGACTGTGGCATGGCAATCATTTTCGAGCTTGCTTCTACTCATGTAGTCTATCAGTATGCTCGGCCTGCTGTTCATTCGACCACAAGATTGGATAGCTGCTCAAAGCGCCATACGTTCTTCAGGCGGTTGCCTATAGTGTGTGCGTCGTTGCATCATGGACCACACCGCTTGTTTGTGCAAACCCGATATCGTGCTGAAGGAGCCTGCCATGGTGACATGCAGCTCTTTCCTGGATGCTGCTGTCAAGAGTGATGAGAGCACGATGAACTTTCTTTCGGAGGAACCTTTCAAGATTGCGTGCGGGGAGAATGCTTGCAGTATGGCCAATGCAGACCAACCTCTCAAAGTTTCATTGCTTGACGACGCTCTCAGTTATGAATTTGCTGAGCGCTTATCTGATCCAGACTCAGTGACAGTGAACATGGCTGCTAGACGGTGGAAGCGCCGCAGGGTGCTCAATGCTGTGGTAGCCAGATGCAAACACTTCAATATTGAGTATCCGGACGTGTTGAAGTCGTTGGCCATTGAAACTTGGGATGATGCAGCATGTGACAAAATGTCAAAGCGAACCTGGGAGACTTCCATCCAATTATGCAGGGCCACAATTGTTGCTGTTTTGAATGCTGAGTGGCTTAGTTAATTAGGATTTGCTGACAAAATTGACAATTGATTGAAAATTAAGTGTGGTGCATATCCAAAGTGGATTTGCCGCGGGTTGCTGGGAAGCTTTGCAGCCCTTGACTTGTCACTTGTCGTTGCAATTTGATCTGAGAAAAAATGAAGTGAAATAGATTGGATGAGCTTGACGTTGCCGGCCTTCTGACTGAGTCATTCCAACATGGTTGTGAGCATGGTTGTTGTATTGTGAACACATGTGCCTGTCTTGCTGCAAGTGCAAGTGTCTTGTTTGGTTTAGGCCAGTGGCGTTACATCAGTTTGTCTTTGACACGTACTTGTTAACTAACTTGTCTGGTTCTCAGAATTTCGAATTGGGTCTCAGTGCCAGGCATGACTTCATTGATTGTTTCTGGCTGCTCGTTTTCATGATGCAGAGCAAATCGTCTTTAGAGGTCAATGATTGGAATTTGATGTGTGTACGTCTTGGTCATGATCTGATTCATTGATGTTCGTGTAACAACTGTAGCTGCTGGCTGAAGTCGCAAGTGACTGGATCGATTTGACGCCATTGCTCTCTTCTTACTTTTTTTGTTGACTCAATATGGGCCGACACGGTGCTAAGAAGGCCAAGACCGCGAAGATGCATCCAATGATGGCTGCTATGATGGCTGCGATGCAACAGCAGCAGCAGGATTCCAGCTCTGATGAATCAGATCATGCCAGGGTTCGTGCTGCACGTGCATCGTCATTGGCTGATGCTGCGCCAAGCTCTACTGCTGCTTCTTCGGGGCATTTGCAAGTGGCAGCCGCTGCAGCTGAAGGTTCTTCTTCGTCTGGCGCCAAGGCAGCTGCAGCTGCGCCTGCTGTTGTGGAAACAGGACATGCAGTGGCAAAGGCGATGGCCAATTTGGACCAGCAAACTGCTTCGCTGTACAGCAGGGATGACAACAGCAGGAGGATCCACCGCAATGCTGTTCTCTTGCGCTCCATCCCCAAGGCGCAGTGACAGACAATTAGAGTGTAATTATCAATCAGTTTTTCAATCTTCAGAACTTACATTGGCTAGCTTGTTTATTTGACATGACATGGTTTGAGTTGAGACAACAGTATGTGCTGAGTATACTACTAGAATTCAATTCCAAAAGCCTCCATGCAGAGCTTTTGATATGTGTAAAAGTGTGATTTTGTTTGTGGTTGCTTTGTTCATGATAATATCATTATGTTACAAATTTCAAATCAGTCGTCTGTGGTGTAGGTACCTCTTTCCGAAGCTTGCGAAGCAATTGATCATGCTCTTGATCCTACTGCTACTTCTGACTTGAGTCAGCATGGTCTTGCTCGCTTAATTTGGATCATGAGCAGACAGAAGCCCAATGTTTCCCTCGCGCGCTTGCGTGTGGAGAGTTATGGGGTGCTGAATGCTCGCCTTCGGCGAGTTCACGAAAGGCTGATAGCAACTAGCCCGGAGATGATAACCACCATGCAGGCCATCAAGGAACAACCGCTGCTAGCCCTGGCTCAACAACTTGGGTTTGACGAGGCATGGTTTTCTCAGGAGGTTGTCGCAGTGAAAGGCAAATCCAAGGCAATCAATGCTCCTGTTCCAGCTGATCAACAAACGCTTCCTGGCATGTTGGCGGCAATCCCGAAAGTTCCACCAAGTCAAGCTTTGCGGGCTCCACCTCCAGCTGCATCTCCTGTGTTGAAAGCAGGTGCAGCAGCTGTGGCAATGCCAAAGGTGCTGGCAAAGGGTCCGGCTCCATCAGTGGGTGTGGCCACACCCGTGGCAAAGGCTAAAGTGGCTCCGGTGCCACCCAAGATGCCAGGAGTAGCAGCTGAGCCAGCTGCAGCACATTCTCCTTTGGTTATTGTTCCCAAGATGGCTCCACCTGTGCAGTCTGAAGCTCCCCAAGAAGTTGGTCAAGCTGCTGTTGTGGCCGGTGCTGATGACGAAAGCTTGGATGAAATCATGGCAGGTGGTGATGGTGGAGAAGCCACAGAGGAAGCTGTCATGATCGGTGATCCAGATGAACCTTTGTGTGTGATTTGCCAGCAACCTCTTCGCTCAGCAACGGATGACCAGCCAGTCTTGGCGTTGGAGTGTGGACACACTCACCATGAATCGTGTTTGTTCTCAGCATGGCAGATCGGTGGTCATCAGCATGGATGGTGTCCTTTCAAGTGTGATGTTCGTCAACAGGCTGCGCAGATTGAGGATGAAACCATGCAAGCCCCAGGTCATAGTCAAAGCGTGGTGCCCCAACTGTCAGTTGGCATTGCCTTGTGAAGGAGCCCGGAGTGAAAAGGCCAATTTTGCATTTGAGATGAAGCTTTTGACTGCTGGATTCCCAGCGGAAAATCAATTATAAGGTGGTTGATGCAAGTCGCAGCTCACCCTGTTGGATGGCAGGAGCCAGAGCCAAGTGCATAGTTGATTTGATTGCGTTGGCATGGCAGAAGCTGATGCTATGGGAGATCGGAAAAATGTCATGTTTGCATGCTTGGGGCATCCATGAGTGGTGTGACATGTGCTTGTTGGGACTCGTTGCAACATTCCCTACTGCAGGACATGTCGATTCAATTCTCTGCATCATGATGTAGATGCCTTGCGTAAGATTGGCTCAGAAACAGAGCAGCTATGAGCACAACAGACAGTGCAAATGTAATAGTCACTAATTGCTAACAAAATGTAAAACCCTAAACCCTAAACCCTAAACTATACGGGAAATAAAAAAGGGCAGCATTTCGTTACTGACAGTGTCGGACCGGTCGGATCTTGCACATTTTTGTCACATTTGTGTCACATTTGTGTCACATCGATGTCACATGCCACATTTGTGTCACATTTTTGTCACATTTGTGTCACATTTGTGTCACATGGGATCAAAATGATATATCGTTTCTTTGATACAAAAAGCTCATCAAACAATTTGTAGCAACCGACATGGATGCAGCGCTGCTGCGCGAGCGTGTCAATGCGGCTTTGGAGAAAGAGCGCTATGTTACTCAGCTTCAGCAAGAGACCAGCAGGGACATCACTTTGGAGAGTTTTGCAGACTGTGAAGCATTTCCAGTAGATGAGCAGGGACAATTGCAATGTGATGACATGGCCGAGCTGGAGAATCTCAAAGCCAAGCTGAATCTCTTCTTTCAATATGATTCGCAACTGGCTGGAGGAAGGGCGCAACGTATGTGGCCTCTCTACTTGGTCATGGCCTATCCATTCATGCAAGGATGGGCTTTGGCAGACATGATCATTGCTTTGTGTTTGAGAGCGTGGAGTAACAGAAAGTGTGGCAAGGCAACGCTGCAATACGTGGAGTACTTCTGTGGCAAAGCCAACCTGAGTCGGGCAGCCGTAGAACAGGGATTCAAAGTTGTGAGTTTAGATTCTTCTTCAAATCCAAACCACAATGTCTTGGAAGGGCAAGGACTGCGTTTGTGGCTACTCGCATTAACCTGTGCAATGCCAGGTGCATTGATATGGGTTGGATGCCCCTGCTCATCCTTTGTTGTTTTGTGCCGATCAGTGACAAGGAGATGCACTGAAAACTTTTTCATGGGCAATGAGACTCACAGGTGCGTTTTGGAAGGCAATGTCTTGGCTGACATCAGTGGCATGGTGCTCCTCCTTTCTTATCTTCTTCAGCTCCAAGATGGTTTTGAACAACCCCAGAACTCGGTGGCACCTGAATCAGCCTGTTTGGTAGCTGTGCTCAGTTTCATTCAGTCGCAGAGAACAATCACATATGATTACCTCTTTGGTGGCAACACCTTGAAGCCCTTGCAACTTTGGTCGTCGCAGCTTTGGATGCAAAGAATGAAACGTGCCAAACCACCAGGCAGTGTGACGGATGAGCAACTTGCCACTCGTGGAGAAGAAGGTGCTTTCACAGGCATCCATGCAGAACTTCATGAGTCCCAACACTACACATTGGAGTTTGGTAGGGCAGTAATTAGATATTGGCAACAGGGCCAAGACATTTAGTAGTCTGCAGACCATAATCCAGTGGTCCAAGTCAATTCGAAATTTGCTGCTGGAAGTCAGCTTTGCGTTTGTTGATGCTTGGTTTGACTGCAGCTGGTACTTGGGGAGCAAACATTTTGATTTGGCTTGTGAGCGGATTGTGCATTGCATGGGTCATGGGCAACAACATGACAGACAGACATGTTTGGAAGGTGTGTAGATCAAAAGAGTTTGAAGAGAAACATAAAGTGTTTATTACATTATGTTCACCAACCATGAAGACGATAGGTCCCCAAAAAGAGTGGTTGGGGACCTATCGTTTTAATCCCCCGCTTAATATATATATATATATATCATATATATTATATAATATATCAAAGACCGGATGTCATGCCATGGTTTCAGGAAAGTCAGCAACATGATCACAAACGCCAAGAAAGAGACATGCAGTTGAGTCATGTTTGGCAATGGTTTGACATGAGGCTTGGAGTTTTGAAACGTTGATTTCGTAACTGTAGTCAACTAGTCACATTATGACATGATGACACTGTGTCGTTGGTGAAGGTGATTGTGTTGCTTGTGCATGTTTTGTGTTTTGGACTTGGGCTCAATTTATTTGCAGTGACTTGCGGTGTTTTGATTTCATTAGCAACAACCTCCTCACTTCTGTGATTTTGTGATGGTGAAGCAGCTTGCACTGGACGAAATGAGCTGGGCTGTGTGGCGAAATCGGGTGGTGCAAGCTCTGGTGATCTTCATATTCAATGAGATCAAAATGTACCCAGTGGAAAGTGACAAAGTTCATGTAATTTTGACAATCTATCACAAATTGGCAAAGGCGAGCTATTTCATTGAGAAAATTCTGGATGAGCTTTTTGTTCCCGATGTGGAGCAGGAATGTGCATTCCTTTTTCATTTCGATCATGTGCTCGTGACCGTCTCCAGCGGATTGGAGTACCTTGCCTGCCAAAGCAGGCCACCTGGCTTGGAGCTGCAGTTTCAGAGGTTCTTCGCACAGAGCAACAAGAACTTCTTTGATGTCAAGCAGCCTAGCAAGGTTGGACTTAAAGGTGCTCTTAGCGCTGATGAGTTCTACTCTTCCTTGGTCGGGAAGATGACAACAGCTTTGTCCATGGCAAATGTCTTGCATCTCTTGGAGAATGCTGCAGATGAATTGACAGGTTGCCTGCCAAGAATCTTCAGAATACAGTATTTGATTGAAACCTTGTGATGTGTGTGAAGTTTGAGGGCTTTGATTGACAACATGTCATGTCATGTGCATGCTGCTTGAAGGCTTGTTGGTAATGTTGTTTTGCAGTTCCATGTATTGCTAAGGTTTGAGGGGGAAACTGATCCTCATCGAAGCCATGAATCAAACCGTGACGTTATTCAACTTTGCATCTAAGCATTTGAAGCTGCATTTGCATATGTGGTCTCGTCCGTGGAGAACCCCTCACGCTGTTGCATCACCATCACTGACCTTGAGAAATGGTGCCGCCTCATGGCAGTGGAGTTTGTGCAAGCGTCGTCGTTTGACCAAGTAGTAATGTTGGCATCGCTCACAAGCAGTGGTGAAGTTTTTGTTTGGATGTGATCATCTTATTCTAAGTCTGAGGGTGGCAAAACACATGCCGTGCGATTCTTTGTCCCCATGCAGTTTTATTCTGATATGCCTTTGCCTTTGACTTTTTGCAATGACAGACACATTGAATTTGATTGAGTTGCAAGTTGCATGGTTGAACCTGCCATCCAATTTCACTTGACTCGTGGACCAGGAGTCAATGGAAATGGAATTGACTGATTACATATATTGCATTGAATATGGCCTTGTGTCTGAGGTCAAATTTCCCTCGTCTCCTATTGAATGCGCTGTGAGTCTTGTCTGTCTGGGCCTCACTCATGGTGATGGTGATGCCACGATCCAAGTTTGCAGTTTTAAGAGTTGAAGTTTTCAATTGCTTGAATTGAGGTCAATTTGCTTTCAGTCAGAAGTCATTGTCAAATGTGAATAAATAAGTTGCAATCCTGTCAGCGGCACTTGTTGAAATTTCTGTCCCTATTAAAACAGGCTCAGCCAGTGATGCTGTATTTGCATCATGCAGACCGGATGAGATAGGTTCCAACCATCCAATGAGACAGTAACGTCATGAGAGACTCATAGTCCCAGCAGTGCTTGACTTGCAGTCAGTCAAATTGTGGCAGCCTTGGAATTAATTAATGAAATCGTGACATGAATACTGTGGAAATAACCACATTGTCAAATCATGTGTATAAAATCAAATGTCTTGATGAATTGATGTAGTACATGCCTGTGTTGCTGCAGCAATGTCGGAACGTTTCGTTTTTACAAGACTCCGATTTGCTTTCGAAGGGAGGCTACGTGGTCCAACAGACGCAACTCTGGTGGAGTCTGAAATTTTTGCATGAAAGGTTTCAAGACAAAGGAGACACCCGAGCTTTTTACAAGTGGTTGCAGTTTTTCCTTCATGGTGTGCGAGAAACAAAGTGTCTGTCCCATGCCAATGATGATGAATGGATTCATTGCAGAAAAGCTCAGCAGAGTGACTCTGAACTCCAGGAAACAGTAGCAAGATCTGTTGCCATTCTTGCTTTCCTGGGATTTTGCCTCAGGGATTCAAGAACGAAGGCTGTGATTGATCTTTGCAAACTTTGGATTCCAAAGATTTGTGGTCGGGCGTTGTGGGGCTCCACTGCTGCTTCAGACCTGCATGCGGAGAACATGATCACCATGACGGTTCAGACAAATGGACATGTCACTGGGCTTGGTGCGGCGCTGGTTGCCAAACATGCCACAATAGCGCAGGTATGGAAATCTGAATGGCAAACAATGTTGCAAGCAGGTGACCTCACAGGTCCTCTTGATGACAATGATTCAGTTTCTCTTGCTGATCTGTTTCGGTTTGTCTTCACTGTGCAACGCCAAAGACGTGCTGCGCACAGACACATTTGGCCATCCTCGAGCGCATCTGGCATCGTTTTGGCTGCAATGCAAGTTGCTGTTGTGAAATTTCTGGGTGAGATGGTGGACAAATATGTCTTTGAGATTTACATGCAAGAGAATGATACTCAGCAGGTAGTGCCAGCTTCCAATCGGCGGCGCTCACGTGGGTCAGATGATGAAGCTGAAGCAGTTGCAAAGAGGCCAAAGGTTTCGATGTCGCCAGACTCAATTTGGGAAGTGGTGTCAACAGCTCGGGAGTCTGGTCTATCCGGAAGGGAGGCGTTGCAATTTCTGCAGAAATTGGACCGTCTTTGCAATGCAGCAGGATGTCACCCGAACAGCATGGATGCATGGATGCGCAGACTGCAATCCATATATGATTCCCGTGCCACCATTGCCTTTGCTGGTACATCGCATATCAATTTGATTGCAGACGCAAGCCGTCACTCCAACAAGGAAGTCTTGGTCACAGCGGCTTGGAGCTGGGAAAACCAGACAGCTGCTATGTGCAATTGTCAGGTGATTTTGCCCTTGGATCAGCTAGCGCCAAATGAGATCGACTTGACTGACCTCGTGGAGACTCTTGCCAAGGAGCTTCTGACAAAATAATTTGATATCATGTGAAGCAAGGCTGACAGTCTAGTCTTTGCATTTTTAATGATAATGAATGGAATTGTTATTTTGTTTATAGCTTCAGAGATTGTTTTGTTTATTGTGATTTCGAATTGTCTCGAATAATACTGAGGGCATCATTTCAATGCAATGCAACCTGCAGGAGCAGAAGCTCACCCGGGTAGCTTCATACAGACACCTGCAAGCGTTGTCCCACCAGGTCAAGCTCCTGACAGGAGGGCGTCTTGCAAACCTTGATTCATTCTCTGCGCCTGAAGGGGTGATCTTTCGTGCTGTCAAACCTGGAGAACAGCGGCTTGTGCGCCAAGATGGTTCGAGGCGAAAAGTTGTTTTCCAAGATGTGAACTCTGGTGTTGAAACATCATTGTTGCCTGAAGCTCGCGACTTTTGGATCGATGTCCCACTACTAGTGCTTCAACTCGATCAGGGACCCACTTGTTGCGCTTCATCGGCGCTACTTGGATTCCACAAGTCAAAACTTCAATGGTTGTGAGTTGATGTTTTCGGTCAAGTTTTCTTGTGAAGAATGTTTTGCTGGGCAATGATTGATGTGACAAGAGAAATTGTGAAATGAACATGACAGATGGTATGTTGTCCTTTGTTTGCAACTTGTACAAGGTCTGCAACCTTTTGAATCGTTTTTGATCATGCTTGGTGTCTTTGCTCATGCTATCAAACTATGTTTTCAGGTTTGCAGTGCTGGAGCTCCAAAAGCTCATCCAGTGCCGGTGGGACATATATCAGCGCAGCATTCGGGATGTGAAACTTGCATTGCTTCACTGCGGAGAGGGTGAGATGTTCCAGGCGCAGATGCACTCGCAGTATCTGTTTGCACTTTCTTACCGACCATTTGGGACTGGTGGGTTTGCTGAAGACAAGCGTCGCATTTTAGAAGTCATGCTTGGAAGAGAAGATCCCGAATCTTTCGCCCTGTGGGATGAATGGTGGGAAACAATTCGAGATGATCTCAAAATGCCACAGACTGCAAGTGCTTCTGAAGTATGGCGGGTGCTTCCAAGCCTTGCTTGCTTCAGCAACAAGGGCACGATGCCCAAGCTAGGGCTCTGGTTCAGCTGGAACCAGTCGTACCATGAGAATGTGGCATCTTGGAACATCCTGAAGATGGTCTTGCAGTACCATTTCAGCTTCACTGGTGGTGGTGATGGCCTGGATCCTGATGTTGCGCAGGCGAAGAGGGAGCTTGATCGTTTGGCACGCATGGACCACCCAGATGAAGATGAACATGTCACTTACAGAAAACAATTCTCTTTGCTCAAGGAGAAGCTTGGGGGCGGGCTCAAACTCGCTTGGCATTTGATGTCATGGCGTCTCCTCCAGCTTGTGCACATCATAGCAGCAACAACTGCACCCATCTGGAAATGGTACAGTGACAGTGTCAAGGGCTTGAAGAACGTCCAGGACAACATCTGCCATCAGGCATGGCTTGCTCAAAATTGGCAACGATCTGTTCATTTGCAAGAGCTAGCGGGAGTGCCAACTGCACAATGCGATGAAGTGGTCCAGCTTCTCACCAGAAGAGAGTTTGCAGGCATCACAGATACTCCAGAGAAGGTTTTCGAACTCAGCGCTCGCCTTCTGGAAAAACGAGCTTGGTCGCTGTCTCGATCTGCAGCACCACCAGACTGCTACTCGGAGCTGCTGGGGAATGATCCAGTGTTGGCCCAGGCCCGGGTGTCATCACTTGTGAAACACAAGCAGATTATGTTTTTATATTTTCATTTCGAGTCACTATATAGATATGATGATTTTTAATTTACAGATTTTCAGCTCATTATGGTTGCTTACTTGTTCATCATGTGTTCATTGGTTTAAAGCAGCCCTCACCGTCATGCATTTCTTGATTGATCACTTCCCCTTGACAACATCATTCAATGTCAATTATAAAAGAGATTGTCAGCTAAGGTGGTTATCCATTGATCGTTGAGTTGGTTCCCACTATTATCATTGAGTTGTTCAGTCTGAACTTGTGCAACATTGTCAGACTGAGAGGCTTGCAGTCATGATATTCAACACCTGACTTGAGTGCTGTAGTATATCAACATCATGGAGGTAAAATTATGGCAAATGTTCCGAGATATTCATTGTTGACTACAATGGAAGTGCCCTGAAGGTTGCAGCTGAAAGCATGTGTCGCCATCACCAAGCTTTATTGCTCCTGGAGCAGGAAGTTGCCAATGCGAAGGCCAATGCTCCCTTGCTCGATGCACTTTCTGTTGTCATGACTCCTGCTGTGCGGTTGATGTTGCTTCTCTTCGAGCAAGATTCTTACAGATCAAGTTCTCCTGGCGGACTTCACATGTTGAAAGGTTTATTGCTGACCATGCCGGACAGTAAGTTGATCGAAGACGTCCACGCTTTGATCAGAAACGATGGCAAGAGTCAGAAAACGCGAACACAAACGCTGCACCACATTCAAGAAATTGTCACACAGGGGAACCAGTTCAGCACCCGACAAGTGCCACATCAACCACATGTGGACCGGGACATCTTTTTGACAAGGTTCCCACATACCCGGGACCGCAAGCGCAAAAGGACAGGGACACCAAATCATGTCATGTGGAAGCTTGTACATGTAAAGCATGAATTCAATTGTGTTTTTTCCAGCCTTGACTTGTTCGGATGTCCAGCAGCTCCTTTTGTTTGCCAGGAGGTACTTTGCCCGGAACCACACTTTGCCTGAGGCCTGGAGCAAGGTCATGGGGCCAAAGCAATGGGCGACCATTTCGGAGGAGACATTGCACAAAGGCTTTGCTGCATGGGTGTTCTTGCAGAGCTACTGCTCAGAAGGCATGATGGCCAAAGGGGTGCGCATCAGTCATGGGCAGATGTCAAAGCTAGCAGTCCCATTGCAATTTCTGCAACAACGTGATGCCGATGGGAATGTGGTCTACATGGGCTTTTGCCTGGGAAATGCAACTTGGGCGGCTTTGTTTTGGCCGGTGAAATTCTTCAGAGATGACTCTTCTGGCTTTTCAGCCTTGTACTTGGATCCTCATGGTGAAGCTGAGTGGCAATTCCTTCTGAATCCGATGCAGTGGCAGGTGCTTCCAACAAAGGCGGCAGATTTTGAAGGTCGAATTTACATGGTCCCCGATGAGGCAAAGACAGAGTCCCTGTTGAATTTTTTCCTGCGCTCTGCTTCTATGCGCAAGAGCCTCCTGGTGGCTGACATGAAACTCTTGGGGCAATTTTTGGACATTCCAGATTTTCCATCAAAAAGCCTACGCCAAGATTTGCTTCTGGCCTTGGTCAATTATGCGGCCGGTGGCGATTCAGAATATGTTGAACAGATTGAGATTGACATGCAAAAGCCAGAAAAACCCAAAGTGATTGGAGATGCTTTGGACGAGTTTGTCTATGGGGAGCTGCCGGGAGAAGACCAAGGCGACTACAGAGAAGTGGCCAAAGAGGTGGAAACCAAGAAAAAATTTGGCTGGTCCATGGCTGAGCAGAAATGGAAGGCAGTGACCAACCCGAAGAAACAGAAAGGCAAAAGGGCCCCAAAGGCCAAAGCCAAAGCAGCTTCAAAGGCCAAACCAAAAACCATGCCAAAAAGCAAAGCCAAACCATGGAAAATTTCACGCTCTGCTCTGAGATCGGGCTCAAAGTGTGATGCGCCAGACGAGGATGCTGCGCCAGACGAGGATGCTGAAGTGGTCGTGGCTTTGCTTTCTATTGTAGCAACATGTTGTGTGTTGATTGTCGCGCTTTATTATTTGACTTCTTTGTCAGGCGTCCTATATGTCTTTTGCAGTGTCATGACATGTTTTTTTGGGTTGATGTGCCTGTAA